ATGACCCTTGATGAGCATCACTGTGTTGGTGAAGCTGTCGTAGCATCTATGCAATCGATGGAGAAAACAGGAAAAGATAAGTATGAGAAGTTTGTAAAGGATGTTTTTTGTGGAAATGAGTCAATTCACAGCCCCATCAAGAAAAATCACCTCCCTTTTTTCAAACGGCCACAAACAAAACCTCAGTCTAAATCAAACAGCAAACGAGTGACATGAAAAATGACTACAGTCTCTTCAATCAGATGTTCATTGATTGTCAGGTACGTCAATCTGATTTAAATCAATTCTTTCCTCATAAAAACCGCCCCTGGCCACCATTCCATATCAATTCATGGAAAACTTCATTTATCAAACTGCAAATCAGAGCTCTTAGATTATCTTGCATCACCTGCGTATGACTCTGTTCCTGACATTGATGCCAGAGTGTTTGATGGCGATGCCGTTGTTCATGCACTGCATAGAGGTGATTCCGAAACGTTTGGCGATATTTGTGACTTCTTCTTACTACAGACGAAGAGGCAACTGGGATACTGCCATCGTATCGACATTGTTTGGGACATCTACAGAGAAGGTAGCCTGAAGGAGACAACACGAGAAAAGTGAAGAAAAGCAGTAGAAGAAAAGTTTCCCGTCATACTAACCTAACTATAAAACTTCTAAAATCAATGGACAATGAGTGAGTGAGAGTGAGTTATTAGCCATATCGTGACGACAATGGACAATGAAGAACTCTTTGCATTCTTAACAGATGGTGTGGCTAGCAGCTCTTACCAATCAGGAAAGGTGGTGTTCATAACAACGCTTCCCTTTTTCCACGCATTCACTGACTCTGACACAACGTCACAGTTAAGCGGAAAAGGCAAGAAAACTGCTTGGAATACTTGGACATCCTATGAGGATGTGACTGAGAGATGTCCTTTTCCTGCACAGCAACCATTCCAACCTGTGGATAAAGACAAAGTGTTTTTATCACTTGAGGGATTCCCGTGCATCATGTCTGACAGCACTACATCAGTGAACATACACATAGTCAACGAACTGCGACAAAAGATGTTCTGGCACAGCCGCAAGATCAAGTTGATGCAGAACCTTCCTCCCACTCAGGATGCTCTGCTACAGCACACAAACAGGTGCTTGTACCAGGCCAGCATATGGCTTACTCGTTTACTTCCCAGACAGAAAGCACCAGAGCCAGATTTGTTTGGTTGGACAATGGACGACATGACACTGCCAGAAGCCTCACGAAGTTGTCGAGAACCTATCAAATGTTCTTGTTCACCAAGATTAGTTAGTGCTTTAGTCCAAATAAGTTCAGGTGTTAACACAATACACAAATATATATAAAAAGAGATACACGCCATGAAATTTTAATTCAATAGTAAATTGGTCAACAAATTCAGAGCACATTCTCCAAAATTCAAAGCAGAATCACTGAATGTGTGTTGAACTGCTTTTACGCATGTATGCACTGCTGTATAGTGTAATAAAGTAAAGCAAAAAGAGTCCATTGCAGCATTTAATCAAACTATCTGGCTGAATAATTGCTTATATCAAATAATATGATTATTGACATGTATCAGATCTATTCTAATATCACCAGGGTTATGAAGCTGAAAATGATCGATATATAGCAAATGTATACTCTGATACTGGTTTCATGCCATACAAACTACAGTACTCAGGGCAAGTTTCATTTGTAAATATCACAAATAGTGGAATGTACATGTCTTAAAAGTTCATCTTCAAATATATATACTTATAAGGCAATGTATGTGTTTCCATGGTTATGTATTAACATACTCATCATACTGTGTATTTTTATATATTCAGTTTAGTAAAATAATGCGTCAAATTCATTGTATTGAGCAGTATATTTGTGTGTATGTTTGTGTACAGATCACCATGTTTATTGTTATCATAAACATTTCTGAATAATATTGGTATATATACGTTTTCATGTTGTTTTGCAAACCGATTCAGTCACTTAATGTGACAACATTCTGTGAAAAAAGTTTGTTCATGGATGGATCTGTTTTTAAAATGATATGTGCCAAAGTAACTCAAGATAGGAATATATTTTTCTATATTATGTCAATGAGCATGGACAACTTTACAAGCACACGCACAGTTAAAAACCAATGGATTGAACTTTATCATTATCAAACTTGTTGCCATGGAAATGCCAAAAATATCTTATTCAGAATACCAACACTACCAAAAGGCACCAGTACACCACCAGATGTATGTATGTGCCACGTTTGGTGAAGAAACACTGAACGGTTTTACAGTTCTGCTCCAGAAAAGAGCACTACCATCGATTTCAGCCTAAGTCAAACTTGTTGCCACGGAAACACTAAATATTTAATTCAGAATACCAAAAATACCAAAAGGCACCAGAACACCACCAAACCTATCTATGTGGAAAGTCTGGTGAAGAAAATAGTGATCGGTTTTAAAGCTCTGCTCCGGAAAAGAGCACTACCACCGATTTCAGTGAAAATCAAACTTGTTGCCATGGAAACGCAAAACATATCATGATCAGAAATCCAAAACTACCAAAAGGTACCAGTTCACCACCAGACCTATCTATGTGCCAAGTTTGGTGAAGAAATATTGAACGGTTTTAAGTTCTGCTCCGGAAAAGTGCACTAATACCAATTTCAGTCAAAATCAAACTTGTTGCCATGGAAACACAACAAAATATTTTATTTACAAATCCAAAACTACCAAAAGGCACCAGTTCACCACCAGACCTATCTATGTGAGAAGTGTGGTAAAGAAATATTGAACGGTTTTAAAGTTCTGCTCCGTAAAAGAGCACCAACTCCAATTTCAGTCAAAGTCAAACTTGTTGCCATCAAAACGCAAAAAATATAATAATAAGACATCCAAAACTACCAAAAGACACAAGTACACCACCAGACCTATCTATGTGCCAAGTTTGGTGAAGAAATATTGAACCGTTTAAAAGTTCTGCTCCAGAAAAGACAAATGTGCACGGACGCATGGACGCACTTGTCAATACTGTCAGAGTATAAATGACCTCACCACGTTTAAGTTTGTAAATGACTATGAAAGTTTGGGTGTTCCCATACTTTTTGTTTGTAGTATATATTCAATCAGTGAGGTCGTTCAGATCCATGTGTCGAAGCGTTAGCGCAGCAGACCCCGGGAACCAGGCTGAGCCGTTTTCTGTTTCCCATTTGCCACTTTCTGTAACCTCCAAGAAGACTCGTCCCCCTTGCTTGTTATGTGCGAAAATAAGACAAATCAATAAGAACGCTCGTAATGGTTGCGGTGCTTTGATAAAAATAATCCCAACTACTTAAATCGTTTATGAGATTATGTCATTGTTTAAAAAGTCATGAAAAATATATACATGTATCGTCATATTGAAAGTACTAAGAACGTAGCTAACAGAATTGTGCTGTCTAATGTGAAGGTTTTTTTATCAGAATCCTGCGATTGACGGTGAGAGATTCAAATACACGACAAAATGTTGTTGACAAAATGGCTCTCACTGGTCCAAAAATATGATTGCAAAAGTCTAGATTTCTATTTTTTGAAATTATTGTCCAAACAGTGATTCGAACCCCTGTGGTTGAGATGATCCTATCTTCCAGTCATGAACAGGATTGGGTCGCTGTACGAGTGAGTGAGTGAGTTTAGTTTTATGCCACACTCAGCAATATTCCAGCAGTCTGTAAATAATCGAGTCTGGACCAGACAATCCAGTGATCAACAACATGACCACTGATCTGCGCAATTGGGAACTGATGACATGTGTCAACCAAGTCAGCGAGCCTGACCACCTGATCCCATTAGTCACCTCTTACGACAAGCATGGGTTACTGAAGATCAATATTCTAACCCGGACCTTCACGGTTTCTTTGCTGTACGATCAAATTCTGGAATGGGTGATGGAATAAACAAGGTTGCGCACTCAGTCATGGTGAGCTGAAGCTGGGATATACAGGACAGCGTTCTGCAAAGCGAGATATCGCATGTAATGCTGTGGTATGATACTTGCTGTTGAGATCAAAAGATTTGGATGAATGAAGAAACCATTCTGTAATTTTTGTTGACATTTTTTCTTGATAATTCTTCTGAAGCAATATTGACTTTTTCCATTTATTAACTCCAGTGAAACCTGGTAGTTGGTGTCCATGTTACTCATAAACACACAATATACAATTTTTATTTCATTAAAATAATGGTATTTAATTGTGTTTCATATAAACAAGAACCTAATATAGGTTGATAGGTTACCAGCATAGAAAATGTATCTAAATTTTGTAAACAACATAGCAGAGTACCATGGACTGAAATAAGGCAATTCTTTCTCATTCATTCAAAACTTTCCCTAATGGGTAACAGTTACCTTTCCCTAATGGGTAACAGTTACGAAAATCCTCTACCAAGTTAAACAGCAAATATGTTCTTCCCTCGGACATTCAGATATTAATTCCACTAGTGTAATCACAAGTTCAACAACATAAAAATATAATGTTTCAGTAGTTGAAAGTCAACTGTTTGAGACTGATGTAGATAAAAAGTATGATCAGAAAGTTGTTTCGATGAAGAAACAAATACACTTGACAAGTCGGCAAAGTTATCATTTGAAAAAATAGTGCCCTTGAAATAAGTGTGTATCCTTCTTGACACAGAGTAAACCAACAATGATCTGGTGTCACAGGGCAGTCTGATAATCCAGGAGTACAGAATTATCCTAGTGCTTCACATACAGTACAGAAGCTTTAATACTCGTTTATGAGTGCTGAGGTTGTCTAATTTACTTGGACCTTGAGTAAAGATAATTCAAGATAATGACCTGCAGAGGGTACAAACCAATCTGCAAATCTAAACAATTTCATGTGATACTGCTACCTGAAATTGAGCAAACATGTCTCACTATGTAATATATTAAATATTATTTTATTGGTTGAAACAAGCATTTTCACATCTTTGAGATCTTGAAAATCAATCTGAGGGACTCACAATTACAAAACACTTTTATTTACTTTAAAATACAGTGTCTGCTAGAAAGCTGTCACACATCACATCTGTGCCACATGTTCAAGAGGTTCAGCATGTATGCCAATACAAGTGGCCTTGACTTCATGGGCATATACCGAGAACCTGTTCATGATACATATCTGCTCATCAGCTGTGAATACATTGCGACTGAGACTGAGATGGTCCATCTTGTGTTTCACTTTGGTTCTTCTCATCTCTAATCTGTCTAACATCTCCATCAGATCTTGTCCTTTGAATTGGTTGAATCTGCAAGACAAAAAACAGTTGAATTTATTTAGAGCTGGAGTTTGAGACATGGACTTCCCCAACACACTTTCTGATTTCAGAATGACAATCTTTCTTTAATCACCTAAGTCTTTGAGCATTGATATAATATTGGTCTGAAAAATTCCAATGATCCAATATCTATAACTCACATTCTGTTTCCACACCCATCCTCAATTTTCCAGCAAGTAACATGCTGCCATGATAAACGTGTAATGTACTTACGCAGCATTCAGATCCTTCATAACAGGAGAAAGAGCAAGGATCTTCTCAATTACTTGTAAATGTCTAGCTCCTGTAAAATGAAAAGTTTTGCTATGTGATCTCAGAAAGCATTTACCAAGATAGTAAAACTTTGAGGGTTATTTCAAAATATTGTAGTTTTCACTCAAACATTTTCTGATATAATATATCCTGTGTCAATAATTTGTGGCTTAATTCAGATTGTCAGTGAGTTAGAAGTGCAGTCTACAAGATTAAACTGCATGCACAATGTATCGAGAAATCAGATCTAAAACAGTAAGAAGTTTACCTCATATATGAAGAGGATATAGGTTACAATCGAAGTGTACAAAATCCTGAAAAAGATTCTTTTGTTTTTTTGTTTCATTTTGAAACATATTAGTTCATGTTTACATTATATGGTCTGACAACCACTGTAGGTTGCAGTTGGGCATCCATACAATAACAAATAACCATTATTAACTATCAACATACCCAGATAGTTGTTGCTGATATCAAGTACCTCTAGGCCCTGGTGATCTCCTACAGCATCCACAAAATTAGGGCAAGTATCTGGAAGATGTTACAGATCAAAGATAAAAAGAAATTCACAAAACAATCACACAGCACAAACTGCTCTATGACATTTTTTTTCAGTAATTCAATTTTATATGATAATACATATGTTGATTTGCCAAATATTAGCCAAATTCTTTAACCATTAAAATTTCATCAAGGGGTTAATTGCCAAGAACCATCTCTAAGCTGGCGGACAATGTGACAACAGAGGAAATTGTATTCCCAACTTGCCTACAGTGAAATGCAAGACCTGATCTGGCTAAAGGAGGAATGGCCGCTGATCACAGCCAAAAGGCATCCTTTGATCATTAACAGTCAAGAGAGGAAGGCATGTACCCTGGTTTGGTCACAATGCGATCATGATTATTCTGAGTAAAATTTTCCATCGGCATTATGGTTTCCAAAATGTGAAGTTAATGACAGATGGACAGAAAATACGAATCAGTTTCAGACAAGCTGCTAACTTGGTTTGAATATGATATATTTACAATTTTAGTGAGTGAGTTCAGTTTTACACCGCATTCACCAATATACCAGTTATATGGCGGCGGTCTGTAAATGATCGAAACTGGACCAGACAATCCAGTGATCAACAGCATGAGCATCAATCTTTACAATTTTAACAAACAAACTGTCAATGTCACACATACCTATCATGTTGGACAATCCCACATTTGAAAGACATAACCTTTTTAGGGACACTGAATGCAGCACAAAGTTTGTGAGGGACTGCTCGCATCCCTCACCTTCTACCATGTTGTCATTTAAGCTTAGTTCCTCCATACCAGCACCTGAAACATGATGACAATGCACAGTGCTCGCATTTAACTGTCTAATACAGCAAGTCAACATTTAACACACTGCATTATCTCTGTCTGCCCAATTAAAAATTCAGGTGTACATGTAGTACAATGTGTATGTGAAGGTTTTAGATACATTTTCATGATTTCCACGACTCAATGTGGATATATTTCAGTTTCCATATTTAAAAATGAAACTAAAACATCCCTGTCATAAAAATAACATCAAATTTTAGAGTGGATCCCAAAATCATTATATTTTCATACTGCAACATAACTTCCCAAGGAAGTCAATGCATGTATTCTACTACGACATCTTATATAACATATGTTATATTTGGGATTACACTTTCTTACTGGCAAACAAGGATAAGTTGAGCACCGACCTGACAATTGACCCATATTAGCATGTATGAGTGCCGCCCATTGGCGCTTGCCATTGTGAGCGAAGGGGACCCACGTTTTCCGCGATCAAGTGTAGTGCTACACCAACCACGTGAGAGTCTTATGAGAAAGGCATGTGCAACTACGCGCTGAATCAATTTCATTGTCATGCACTGCACCTACATCTGCTTTACCTTGCACAAACCAAATTGGTTTGCTCATTATCGTGCACCGCCTATTTCTCGTAAACATGTTCTCTGTGCAGGTCCAACTTATCCTTGTTTGGCAGTAGTAAAGTACAGATTCTAGTACTTTGGTTTGGTTGACTCGCATGCAGGATTCGAACCCACACCCTCAGAGTCAGGCACCTAATCACCAACACACAAAGTCTGCCACCTAACCTGCTCAGCCACCGCAGTTTCCACATTTTAGATTCTTGCCAGAGATACTGAATCTATGTTACACCCTGATCTTGCTGATAACAGTATACGCTCAAAAGAAGAGATATTCAAAAGTTCCTTCTTCAAACACATCTGTTCAAAAGGAAATCTGCCTTTTGTGCCACAAACACATACTTTCTTGTGTATTTTTTAAGTGGTTCTAGTAATCTGGGAAAATTATGTTCTGGGTTTACAAAACAAACATATATGCTGACTAAAATGTATCTTCATTGATCCATAGTTCATGCTTTCAATCTACTGAAAACAGAGTTCAATTTCAAATGAAAATTACAAGTAAAGAATCACTATGTTTGAAACTTATGAACTGAAAACACACTAGGCTTATCTACGGACTGCATTATGGTATCTGCCCCAAACCTTTCTAAAGAAGAAAAGAAAAAGAATCGCAGAACACTTTTTAGTGGAATTACATGGCATAGAAACAAGCTGATTCCCAATAACTGGAAGAGCGTTAAAAAAACCTGGCAAATACTAAGAACACTAAAATGATATTAACATGATTATTTATTATGTCCAATACCACATCCTAACATTTGTCATCAATTTGTAGCATAGAATCAAACCATGGTTCTGAAACTACAGCATAAAGTAAGATAGGCAGTAAAATGTCTGGCTGTTAGCATGGTTAGCTATCATGCAATGTCAACAAGTTGTCAATTATTGAGTTGTTACCTGTGTTCCTTTGTTTTACAATGAGTGTATCAAGAATTTGACGTATCTTGTCAGGCTGCAGATGACATGAGGCCAGCCTCAAACCTCTCAAAGCAGTATCAGCTCTGATGAACTCCAGCAGAAGGTTGAATGTTTGTTCTTCAAAAGAGTTCCAACTCAAATCTAAAATCTTCACTGCAGCAAGCTCTGCAAGTAGAAGCATCATACATATGTATATTGCCTAAAAATAACATACAATCAACCAACAATCAAAAAGTCATACCCTGTCACTTCAAACTAATCATTACAACGCGTTCAGGCTAAATTGACCAAAGTTATAAAATATTTTGACATGTAATGTATATTTGGATGCATTATGATTGTCAAGTTAGAAACTCTTGAACTGATTGTACTTATTTTAACACAAGAAATTATGGTGCTAACACTTTAACAGGCCATTAACATGATCAAAAACAATAACTGTATCCTTATTTGTACTTACTATGCTTGATGGTTACAGGTTCTTGAATGCAGATAAGCTTGCACCCGGAAATTTGAAAAAACTCCATAGGCTTTGGACTGTAAAGGTATATTCAAATAATGTATAAATAGTAATTAAAAAATCCACTTACATATATACAACTTAGAGATCCCCCTTAAAAGAAAAGGTAAATATCTCATAAAAGATATGTCCCCATAACTTGATAATTTATAAGTAGGCATTTGAAGGCATTATTATTTATTAAAACAATTTTCCATAGCTGGCAGGTTAGAATACATGGTCAACCATAAACATGGCAAAAGAAAATTGTTTCAGTTTACATATATAAGCTATTGTGTACCAGATCTATATCAACTATATCACTATGTACATAGCATCTTCTAGCCATGTAATGTTCCCAAAACAATACCATCATGCCAAGTACACAGTTGTTTAAATATCATAATACCAACATGCAAGATTGCCCAATCTTCTAAATGGGCATACTGACTCACCGCACATACTGACTGTGCCGGTAGTGACACATAAATAGATGTATAAGACATTCTAAGAACATGTCTGTAAATCCTGTGTCCACAACCAAGTGTGTCAGTTGTTTACGGCAAACCAACTCCAGAACAGTTTTCATCAGTCCTGTGAACAAAATGACACTGAACTTATTGACAGACCAGCGACGACTTTAATATCACCTTAGTGCCTTAAAAGGGTGTATGTTTCCACACTCAATCATCATAATTAATTACATATGAAATGGTTTTGGTATTTCTATGTGTTTCAACGTTTGAATGTATAAGCACTTTTCATGCTTATGTGATATATATTATGCAAGCATTACAGTTTTACTCAACATGTTGATCACAAAAACTGTTTTGTACAATACAAGAAAATATTTCTACTTTCTTTATCCGGTCAGCCATGAAGATCCAGGCTAGAATTGGTCTTCAACAACCCATGCTGGTCATAAGAGGCGACTAATGAGATCAGGCTTGCTGAATTGGTTGACACATAATATTGTATCCCAATTGCAAAGATCGATGTTCATGATGTTGATCACTGGATTGTCTGGTTGATTATTTACAAACCACCACCATATAGCTGGAATATTGCTGAGTGGAGTGTTAAACAACAACCAAACCAAAAAGCAAACTGTTATCCGGTACATGCTTGGTTCTTAGATGTGAGAAGCCTGGGTCTCACTACCCATAAATGTATGGTTTCTTACCCATGTTCAGATTTATGATTTTCTCAAACAAGTTATCATGGAAAGACATTTCCAAAGTTGATGCTTAGCTAACCTTGCACACTGAATGCTGGAACTAAGAAACATCAGCCCTTTATCAAGAAAGAACTATGCGCCAGTCTGCTTGCCACAGTATGTCTGTTCACATATTGCTAAAAGTATCCTGTGGATTTTAAGGGTTCTGTCTAGAAACTAGATAAGTGGGCACCCATTCAGAGTATGCACATGAGGTCATGTTCAAAACTTATGGGTCCACATGCAGTTTGTAAATGTAGAGTCACAGTCCCCAAGTAATATTAGACCAGAGACCATATAATAGAGGGACGGCCCTCTCCAACAGTTTATCACTAACCATCAGCGCTACGGCCTGGCATGTAACTGATATTATATGGTCTCTGATTAGACAAACACACGATGTTTTACATGGAATCTTTCTTGTACCTAATATATTACAGCAGCAACAACATCCCTTGTGTTATATTTAGCCTCAACAGCTTGCAGGTGTTTGTTGCCCTTAACATGTCTCTTCAAGATACTCATACTCATGTGCCGGTCTAAAAATTATAGTGAGAATCCTGCAACGCCTATCGCCTTGGCAGAATACTGCAGGTGGTGTTCTCTAGTTATCACTATTTAAGTTTCTCAAGAAAATTATTTGCTCCTTTAACTTACCTGCACTTAAAAAGACGTACAGTTTTCTTAAGTTGCTCCAATGTGGCAGGAACTGACTGATTATATCACCAGCTGTCAGAGTTCCAGTATCACTGGTCATAGCAAAGATCCGAACTCCTCCAGAGCCTACACAAAGCTTTTCACAAGACCTGCTTCTATGGATCAAATCACTAGAAGCAGCAGAGGATTCACTTTGGGAGCTACTAGTTGCAAGACAATCAGATATACGTCTATGAACTTTGGGCCTTGAAGCTGCAGCACTCTGGTGATTTGAGCTAGGGGTGCTCAAAGTGTTTCTGTGGAGTATGGACTTGGACTTTTCTGATGCTAAAGGTGAGGTAGGAATGCTGTAAGGCTTTGCCTGGGGTGAAAGACATCTGGGTGGGGTGGTACTACTTATTGCACTAGTTTCTGAAGAAGAATCACTTGATGACATTGCTTGAGTCTGTGAGTTTGTGTTGCTTTCGGGACTGCTTTATCAAGCAAACAGTCAAGCACTTTGTCCTGTAAGTCTCTGTGATATAACTGGTTTAACTGATCTTTCAATGAAGTATCTGAAGAGTCTGGAGACGATTCATTCGAAGAGTTTTGTTTTGTGGTTTCAGGTGCAGTGGTGATTGATTTTTTCAACAAGAGGGTTGACATGGTAGTCGAAGCAGATTTAAAAAACTTCTTTCCCACCACTAAACGTAGCAGTTTCCTCGCCATGACAAGGACAGCCACTACATATAGCTATCAGTTGTGTGAGCTCCCTCTCGCTCAGTGATGACCCACGTAAAGAGATTTGTTCAAGGCGCCCTTCTGTCAAAAGCTTGCTTAGGAAATACTTCAGATTATAAAAGCAAAACGTTGTAAGGGGAGAGATGACTAGCTTTTCGGTATGCTTTATCAATTCCATCATGAGTTCTTCATCTGAAGCTATATAGTGTACATGTCGCCCGTTTAATACAAGTTTCTTGCAATACTTTGCACATTTCATCAGAAAAGATGTGTAGATGGATGGATGGACTTCATCTGCCTGGCGTGAACCTTGCCCTTGTTTCAGTTTGTGCAAGGGCACTGTGTACATATCAGTCGGCGATGGAACATCTAGAAAGAGAATATTTTCTCAGAATATGAATATATGATTATCAAACTGACAATATTTAAACCATTCAAAATCATATGAGAAATAACAGAGATTGGTATTGTGTGGGTCTGTGACATTACACTTGTATATATGTGATATTTTGCAACTGCATCAATGTTCTAACATTTACAACAATTTAGAATAATCTTCTCCTTGATGCTACAGACTTTACACCATTCAAAAGAGTACAGACATGCAAAGATTTCTTTCCCTGTGAAATACAACTGACACACACATGAAGATATGGGTTAGAATTGGTCCTCAGTAACCCATGTTTGTCATGAAAGGCAATCAGGTAGTCAGGCTCTCTGACTTGGATGACCCACGTGTCATTGCATCCCAATTGCGTAGGTCAATGCTCATGCTGTTGATCACTGGATTGTCTGGTCCAGACTCAATTATTTACAGACTGCCACCATATAGCTAGAATATTGCTGAGTGCAGCATTAAAACAACAAACAAACCAACCAACCAACCTGATCCTCTCCTGGGTTCATAGTTCCTTGTTGTTTAGTGCAAGTTAATCATAACAGTTGGAACAAACCCCTGGTACAGCAAGAGCACTCTGATGTTTGTTTAACTAAAATTACTCTGTGGCATTGTTCAGTACATGTAGTAGGAGAGAAATAAACTTTTTTCCCATGGCAAATGATGAACAAAATAATCATGCTTAATGAATTTCCAATATCAATGAAAAGGAGGGGAAAGCATTTTCAATTACGATATTGCTTATATTTAGCTTACATTATGGTAAAATAGTATTCAGCAGATGGATCAAATGGATTTAAAGGTTTTGTGACTTCCCTCTGCCACACTTGATAAACAGCACATTTTTACCCCTGCTGATTAAGCAATTTCAATTACAAATTCATACGATAACAGTTTCAAACATGTCACAAGGACTTTCTATTTTCATAAAATATTTTATATTTTGTTCAACATGTTTAACTGTATCATGTCTACTGTTCCATCTGTTCAATACTTGTCAGACATGAGTTTCTTAAAGTAAGTCGTAAGTCTGTTTGTCTAATAAAGAAACATCTCACCACACATGCCAGCAGCAAATGTATCAAGCGAGAGAATTGTCAGCAGAGAATGGAACTGTTTGTAATGGTAGATATCCTTGTAGCAGGTAATGCCATCTGACTCTCCAAATACATCCTTGACACCTCGTCGGAGCAAATTGAGAGTCTGGCAGTGATAATGCCAAACAACATCTACATCTAAACCTGAAACAGAATTGTACCATTAAGTTGTCATAATTTGTTATCCATAGTTATTATTAAGACTCAGCATTAAGATTTTGTTTGTATTGCAGCAAAGAAATAATGAGCATATTGATGTTTCATTAAACGAACAAAATGAAAAAAACATTATTCAATATAGCAATATGTCTGATATCTCAAAACTGCTGTTCCCTGATATTGATGAATGCAAATGTATCAATAGTAAAATGCAAATGTGGAATGTATTCTATCAATAAGGGCAATTTCTAGGCATTTCTAATCTTGCTTCTCACCTTGGCTGCAGAGGATGTCATCTAGCCTATAGAGATCAGCAGCACTCAGTTTCATAATAACCAGCTCAAGTACAGTGCGTGGTTGACCTATGGGTAAAATAACACAATAATTAAGGATGTCACGATACATAAGTTTCATGGATCAATACGTATCACGATACCCATGTCACGATTCGATATGCATCATGATACCTATTTTTGCGGCATAATTGTGTAAATGTAGCTACATTTTGAACATTAATATTTCATATTTTATAATTGTCCCCAAAAAGATCAACATTTTTTATTCTCAGAGATCAAAAAGTTCTTATTTCCCATCTTTGAGCATGCAAATTAATCATTTATAACTCACATAAAATCAAACAAGAGTCATCAGAAGATGACATATCCCCCCGGCCCCCACATCTTTGAAAGAACAAATCATCTGACAGTTACTTAAAGTCCAGCTTGATTTTAGACTAAGTGCAAATCCTTCCATGGAAATCATGAAAAATATAAATGACAACAAGAGTCATCAGAAGATGACATATCCCCCCGGCCCCCACATCTTTGAAAGAACAAATCATCTGACAGTTACTTAAAGTCCAGCTTGATTTTAGACTAAGTGCAAATCGTTTCCATGGAAATCATGAAAAAAATAAATGCCAAAAATCTGCAAATAGCAAAAGGCACAACTTTAGGATCTGTTTGATATATCTATCAAGTTTTGTTGAAAAATATTATACGGGTTTTGAGTTGTGCTCGGAAGCGAAAAGCAATCCTTACTTTTTTGAGACTAAGTCCAAAATGTTTCCATGGAAACCAAGAAAAATAAAATGCCAAAAATCTGCAAATAGCAAAAGGCACCACTTTAAGGTTCGGTTTCATACATCTACCAAGTTTTGTTGAAAAATATTAAGAAGTTCTTGAGTTATGCTCTGGAAGCTAAGCCCACCCCTCACTTTTGGGACTAAGTCCGAATCATTTCCATGGAAACCAAGAAAAATAAAAATGACAAAATCTGCAAATAGCCAAAAGGCACCACTTAAGGTTCTGTTTGATATATCTACCAAGTCTTGTTGAAAAATATTGAACGGTTCTTGAGTTATGCTCTGGAAATGAAGCCCACCCCTCACTTTTGGGACTAAGTCCGAATCGTTTCCATGGAAACCGGGAAAAATTAAAATGCCAAAATCTGCCAAATAGCAAAAGGCACAACTTTAGGATCTGTTTGATATATCTACCAAGTTTTGTTGAAAAATATTGAATGGTTCTTGAGTTATGCTCCGGAAACGAAAGCAATCCTTACTTTTTGAGACTAAGTTCAAAATGTTTCCATGGAAACCGGGAAAAATAAAAATGCCAAAAATCGGCAAATAGCAAAAGGCACCACTTAAGGTTCTGTTTCATACATCTACCAAGTTTTGTTGAAAAATAGTGAACGGTTCTTGAGTTATGCTCTGGAAACGAAGCCCACCCCTCACTTTTGGGACTAAGTCCGAATTGTTTCCATGGAAACCGGGAAAAATAAAAATGCCAAAAATCTGTGAAATGCAAAAGGCACCACTTTAGGATCTGTTTGATATATCTACCAAGTTTTGTTGAAAAATATTGAACGGTTCTTGAGTTATGCTCGAGGAAGCGAAGCCCACCCTTCTTTAAGACTAAGATCAAACGCGTTTCCATGGAATCCGAGAAAAATAAAAATGACAATTATCTGTAAATAGCAAAGGCACCACCTTAGGTTATGTTTGACATATCTACCAATTTTGGTTAAAAATATCAAGCGGTCTTTGAGTTATGGTCCGGAAACAAAATGATTACGGACGGATGATTGAATGATTGACGGACGGACAGAGGCGGCGACGACTATATCCACCGCATTATATGCGGTGGGATAAAAATCTACAAATAGCAAAAGGCACCACTTCAAGATCTGCTTCACATATCTGCCAAGTTTTACTGGAAGATATTAAGAAGTTTTGAGTTGTGCTCTCGAGCTTGAAACCTACCCGCCCTTTTGAGACCAAGTCTGAATCGTTTCCATGGAAACCAAGAAAAATAAAAATGACAAAATCTACAAATAGCAAAGGCACCACTTTGGGATCTGCCTCACATATCTGCCAAGTTTTGCTGAAAAATATCAAGAAGTTTTCGAGTTGTGCTCCGGAAATGAAACCCACCCCTCCCTTTCGGGACTAAGTCCGAATCATTTCCATGGAAACCGGGAAAAAAAAAAAATGCCAAAAATCTGCAAATAGCAAAAGGCACCACTTAAGGTTCTGTTTGATATATCTACCAAGTTTTGTTGAAAAATATTGAATGGTTCTTAAGTTATGCTCCGGAAACTAAAGCAATCCTTACTTTTTGAGACTAAGTTCAAAATGTTTCCATGGAAACCGGGAAAAATAAAAATGCCAAAAATCGGCAAATAGCAAAAGGCACCACTTAAGGTTCTGTTTCATACATCTACCAAGTTTTGTTGAAAAATAGTGAACGGTTCTTGAGTTATGCTCTGGAAACGAAGCCCACCCCTCACTTTTGGGACTAAGTCCGAATTGTTTCCATGGAAACCGGGAAAAATAAAAATGCCAAAATCTGTGAAATGCAAAAGGCACCACTTTAGGATCTGTTTGATATATCTACCAAGTTTTGTTGAAAAATATTGAACGGTTCTTGAGTTATGCTCCGGAAACGAAGCCCACCCTTCTTTAAGACTAAGATCAAAACGTTTCCATGGAAACCGAGAAAAATAAAAATGACAATTATCTGTAAATAGCAAAAGGCACCACTTTAGGTTATGTTTGACATATCTACCAATTTTGGTTAAAAAATATCAAACGGTCTTTGAGTTATGGTCCGGAAACAAAATGATTACGGACGGACGGACGGACAGGACGGACGAGGCGACGACTATATCCCACCGCATTATATGCCGGTGGGATAAAAATCTGCAAATAGCAAAAGGCACCACTTCAAGATCTGCTTCACATATCTGCCAAGTTTTACTGGAAGATATTAAGAAGTTTTTGAGTTGTGCTCCGGAAACGAAACCTACCCCGCCCTTTTGAGACCAAGTCTGAATCGTTTCCATGGAAACCAAGAAAAATAAAAATGACAAAAATCTACAAATAGCAAAAGGCACCACTTTGGGATCTGCCTCACATATCTGCCAAGTTTTGCTGAAAAATATTAGAAGTTTTCGAGTTGTGCTCCGGAAATGAAACCCACCCCTCCCTTTCGGGACTAAGTCCGAATCATTTCCATGGAAACCGGGAAAAAAAAAAATGCCAAAAATCTGCAAATAGCAAAAGGCACCACTTAAGGTTCTGTTTGATATATCTACCAAGTTTTGTTGAAACATATTGAATGGTTCTTAAGTTATACTCCGGAAACGAAGCCCACCCTCTCTTTTGGAATTAAGTCCGAATCGTTTCCATGAAAATCGGGAAAATTAAATATGCCAAAATTCTGACAAATAGCAAAAGGCACAATTTTAGGATCTGTTTGATATATCTACCAAGTTTTGTTGAAAAATATTGAACGGTTCTTGAGTTATGCCCTGGAAACGAAGCCCAACCCTCACTTTTGGGACTAAGTCCGAATCGTTTCCATGGAAACCGGGAAAAATAAAAATGCCAAAAATCTGCAAATAGCTAAAGGCACCACTTAAGGTTATGTTTGACATATCTACCCATTTTTGTTGAAAAATATCGAACAGTCTTTGAGTTATGCTCCGGAAACAAAATGATTTCGGACGGACAGACGGACGAAGGGGATAAAAACATGATACAATTGCAAAATGTAAACGATACATAAACATATTTAAACCGATACTTTCAAAACTAAATATTGATATAGTTTTGAATGTATCGATAATTATATCATCTTAGAAAAAGTATCGGTGCATCAATGTATCGTGGCATTCCTAACAATAATACATGAAACTTGGCTATCACTGTCATTCATTATCAGTTGACAAAAGTCTTTTAACTCTTACAAACAAAAATTAGTGAATGAGACTGTTGAAACATATGAAGAACAAAAGAAAGACCTAAAGACATATACTAGACTTTCTACAGACTGTTTAAAAAAGAAACAGTTCCTCTGTCTCCAACATATATCCACAAGTATAACAAGCACTGACGAATTTAGTAATTTCATTGGGCCTTTCTGAGTTTCCCCTAACCCTTTCAAATTATGACTCATGTAAATAATCCGGTATATGTAAGCATACAAATGACATCTCAAAATGTATGGCAGACTAAAATTCATAAATATGGACAAAAATGCAACTAAACAATGCTAAATACAAGTCATGAAGTGCCGAACTTTCTCTATGCCTATAACATGGAATATTTACTTACAGGCAAAGGCAGCATCTGGATACAGGTGCCCATGTTCTCCGACAAATTCTGCCGTTATCTCAAACAGGGTCTTCATTCTTTCCTACAATATTAACATGCTTAATAATAAGTATATATTTTGACAATCATCAAACTATCTGGTGAATACCAATAATTAATCCGGTGCACACAATCAAGAGGTTGGTACTGTGAGTGTATGCTTTCAGGGTATGATGATCTACCAAGTGTGACCACACAATTTCCTTAAACCTTATGGCCATAATAGGTACTCAGCCTTACTAGAAATTCCCATGGGTGGGTCAGTTTGTGCCAAGACTATAATACTATATAGAATGTCTCAAAGACAACTGTTGTTCTTTGCTACAATAAGCAGGGTTTCCCATGTATCATGAATATTTTGTATCACTGTTACTAAATAAAGTGTTTGAAATGGACAAACCAGTTTAACAGACAGGAATTCGTAATTTGGACACATGACGAATATTTAATATTTTACACCTGCCTAGAAAAAGAAGTGTTATTCGCATGTCTTATGAGGTCCTAATGAAGAAAGGTGAATAATAGAAAACTGAAAACTTGATCCATTTAATCACAAGTTCATCACAACAGTATCAGCTCAATGTCATCATTTCTGTAATCAACATCAAACTGCCGAAAACAGACAGTGCCATTATATTTTGATCTTTGTTACATCAGGCTTGAGAACGTTAACTGAAAAACATTCTCTCTGATTTGTGATTAATATATTTGCAAGGAAAAACCCAGAACAGGCCTTGTATGGTCACACATATTTGCCTCACCATCTACATGCAGTTAGAACGCCCAAGGGAAATTATGGTTCTTGGAACGGACGTTTTGTCTTCGAAACATCATGGTTTTCAATCGACATGTTTAGTAATGTCATATTTTCTCCGTATGTGAGCGTATTTCTCGTCTTTTCTGTCATCCGTCGGCTGCGTTTGAAGGGCAGATAACTCTAATCGCATATTCGCATGAGCTCTAAGCTGGTTTCCGGCTCCCTTTGCGCGCGTAACCTTGCGTATGCGAGATGGGACCCAGCTTACATTAGCTCTGCATACCACTACAAAAGAATATCATCTTGCCACAGCAACCAAATAAATAAACTTTCGTGAAACAGAAATTTAACGTGTTCTTATTTGCACCATGCAAATATGTATAATGCCCATTGTTACTTTTCAGAGCAAGTTTCAGGAAAATATGTTTTGGGTTTCTTTTTATCATATAGTATGCAGTAAATACTTGATGTAAATCGAATGAAGTGAACGAACGGGTGCTTACAATATTGGTTTACGAAAATGTTAAGTTTGAGAGAAAACAGAGCTACGTGTGATATTTTTCAAAATATTTATGCAAAAATTCCGATTGTCAGGTGTCAATATCTCGTAAAATATGCAGCAGCAATCAGGTTAGTTATTAAGTTATCTCAGTAGTACTTTCATCATATTCGGGTAGTGGTACAATGTGTAGAAAGAAACGATCAGTTAATTGGTTTCTCATTTCATTTCCCCATATTTCTGAAACATATATATAATGCTGAAAATCGTGTTGAAGTCCACTTTCTTCATTACTGTATTGGTGCACTCGATGACACAGTTACAGTTAAGGAAGAGAAATCGATAAATGCTATGATGATGTACGTATCACAGGGACGGATACAGCGTTTTTTCGTGTGCACAATTTCTATAATTGTCCCGTATATATGCAATAAAGAAACTATGCTGAAAACTTGGTGATAATGATGACAAGACCAGATAAACAGAAAAGAAAATGTATTTATTTATTTATTTATATATTTATTTACGCAAAAGTTAAAATTCAAAATATGAGTCCGTGTTAACATGGCTTCCTATTTTCAGAATTCGTCATTGTGACGTCACGTCATTGTTTCAGAAGTTGCTATGGCGCGCTGTGCAAAGCTCTTGGTTCATTTTAAAGAGACCTTTACTGAATTACGTTAATGACTTCATCACTATAGCATAATGGGGAAGAAAGCACGCAATCGTGAAGCGAGACGGAGCATCCGAGAGCGTGCACGGCAGTGGGCGGCGAATATTGCACGCACTTTTCTGAGTTACTGCTTGCCATGTGTGCGGGGTACTGAGGTAGGTTTACTCTAATATGCTGTAGTATGATATAAATAAAGCTATTTTCTTTATATTTTATTTAAATCTACGCACGCTATAGTGCAATTAATACTGAATAAATAGTTAGAACCTGTAGGTTTTATTTTTTGTCATTCTTTTATCATTGAAAACGTTCGTTAATTTAACCACGTCGAGACAAGCACATGTAGCTTACTGGTGTTTCGGATTTAGTTGCCAATACTCTGAAATTTGAGGATGAGGTGTTCATATTTGTATTATCGTCAGATCTTGTGAAGTGAAGTACAGCGGTAAAACATTTATATACATGAGTGAGTGAGTGACTGACTGAGTTTGGTTTTACGCCGCTTTTAGCAATATTCCAGCAACATCACGGCGGGGGACACCAGAAATGGGCTTCACACATTGTACCCATGTGGGGATTCGAACCCGGGTCTTCGGCGTGACATATACATGAGGGAACTTATGTTTATACAGTTGACGTACCGGTTGATAATGTTGAAGTGTTAACGCAATAGACTAAGCTGAAGTACCGGTGTAATGGTTGTCTACACAATAATAGTTTGTACTCATATAGTTCTATGTATGTGTCTGCTAAGAAATGTTAATTGCACGTTGGTAAAGATATTTAGTTTAGTTTTGTGGAAAAGTGGTTAAAATGAACACACATGGTATATTGCATTAAGATCGAAATGTATCGTTTACATACGTAATGTAAATGCTTTTATGCACGTGTGTGCGTGTGCATCCCCGCCAAACCGCTATATTGTCTGGACAATGAAACTTCGTCGACCCGACCCCATGGGTGAGTGAGTTTAACTTTACGCCGCACTCAGCAATATTCCAGCTATATGGCGGCGGTCTATCAGTAATCGAGTCTGGACCAGAAAATCAAGTGATCAACAGCATGAGCATCGATCTACGAAATTGGGAACCGATGACATGTGTCAACCAAGTCAGCGAGCCTGACCACCCGATCCCGTTAGTCGCCTCTTACGACATGCATCGCTTACTGAAGATCAATATTCTAACCCGGACCTTCACGGGTCCCGACCCAATGGTCTGAATGAATAATTATATCCACAATACGCAGTAGACCTATATCAGGTATGCCTGTAATGTTGCAGGTTGAGGCTCAATGCCAGGACAAATCTCTGGTCGACCGAAAGTGAGTTGAATTGCTGTTTTCCTGTTTCTCTTGATCATACACGTATCTTGCTCAGTTTCATGTATGAATTGCCTAACATTCTACCAACTATATCCATGTTTAGGATTAATGTGCATATCTCTCATTTAGATGTCTGATTTCAGTGTCTAGTTTAATCTAAATTGGGGCATGGTGGTCGAGCTGTCTCAGGCACCAGACTAGTGATCCAACGAGCTAGGGATCGAGCCCACCTGGGACCGGGTGTAAAAACCTTGGAGTCAACTTTGTGTGCAGACTCTTTCAGGGTTGTCACAACCCCTCGTGTACAGTACAAAACCCTGTGCACTTGAAAGAGCCCACGAATCCGTTGGTATATGACCAGATGGTGGCCACATGAATACGTGCAAACGCCTAGTTGCGGGTACAGCAACGTGCAGTTCACTTGGACAAAGTACTGTGACTATGTGTCCCAGTCCACCCAGCTGTGAATGAGTACCTCGTAAGGATTGGAAAGCCACATTAACTCGGTGCGCCTAGTGACTGCAAGAGTTGTATGATCCCCAGGGAGTTGGGATTAATAATACGATGAGATTGACAGCCAATGATCGAGGGGAAAGAAATACCAGCGCCTTGAGCATGTACAAGTTGTGTGGATATGTGCGCTATACAAATAATATCATATAATAATAAATAAAGTGGAGGAATCCTTTGCAATGTTACTTATTGACAGCTTTAAGGTACGGTATATGCAGGAGAGGACAGACATCGCATTGCGGGGTGTTCTGTTATTTATTTTGGCTTTGACATTTATTTTTCATTGTTAATAATCAGCTAGTAAGAAACGATCTTGTTATTCTCCGCGATAATGTAGCAAGTATTTCACGTATAAATGTTTGAAAACGACACATATATCCCATTTTTTGCACAAGACAAATGTTAACAGACTATTGTTCTCAACCAAAATTTGTAAACGCTTAACTCGTGACATAAAGGCTGTGTTTACCTCGCAGATCTCCACAACCAGTGCAGGAAGAGGTAACCACCAGGCCAGCTCATCGCACCCGCTACCTAAACCTAAAGGGTGTGCTTCACCCCCAGTCGAACGATTACCCTTGGTCTGGAGAGAATGGGATGTGTGAGTGTGGGGGCATTGGGTACCATCCAGTTATCACTTCCGGTTCTGAGTTCCGAATTCAGGATCATAGGGATACCATGGCAGCCCGTTCCAAGTCCGCCACCACGCAGGTCAAGGACGCCGTCACCTCTGGAGGGTTACCTGACTGCCGCTATTCCGTGATGGGTAATTTCAACCAGGGAACAGTTGCAGGGATCGTTGGACCGTAAGTGTCTCCTGGATGATACGTTTATTTAGAAATTTGAGTTGATTTTCCGAACCCTTATACATAATTATATAAACGGACAATTGTAATTTTGTTTGCATTCCTTTCATAATATCAGTTCATTTCGTATCAGATCAAATCGTATCAGTTAATTTCGTATCAGATTACATCGTATCAGTTAATTTTGTATCAGGTCACATCGTATCAGTTCATTTCGTATCAGATTACATCGTATCAGTTCATTTCGTATCAGATTACATCGTATCAGTTCATTTCGTATCAGATGACATCGTATCAGTTCATTTCGTATCAGATCACATCGGATAAGATCACATCCTATCAGTTCATTTCGTATCAGATCACATCGTATCAGATCTTTGTGTAGACCAATCAGAGGATTAAATACAATTGTGATTAAAATTATGCACGCATATGTCAAACGTGTTAGATATTATATCTTGCTGCTTCCTCCTACTCCTTTCCCACCAACTGAAATGAAAAATCATACTTTACTTTGCTTTTCTTGATGCATGAAACAAAAGTATTGTCTTTTCCAGGTCTGAGAATGCAGGCACACAGTGTACCAGCATGGCATATACGGCTGTTGTGGCCAGTGCCTTCCTCCCGGTGGGAATCTGGTCCAGGAATACACTAGATACCATCCTTCAGCTCGGGGATCAACTCCATGAACAGATTCTCACAAACATGGGAAACAACGCTCCACAAAACAGGTTTCTGGCTTTCGACGAACTGCCTCACAAACCCAGAATCGGCGCTTTCAGATGGCCAGTCAAGTGCGCGTTTGGACCGGAGCACCAGGGTGTCATATCGGCAAATGGAGACCACAATTCTGAAATAGAACGATATTTAAAGGAGACCTTTGGTGAGGGATACTCAGGCTGCCTGATGACCTTTGATGGCATGACCTCGGCTGTTTTGCAGAACAATGACGAAACGTATTCAGTCTTTGACAGCCATGGACGGAATATCATGGGAATGATCGATGGCGAGGGCCAGGCCAGCTTGCTGAGATTCACCAGCCTAATTGATGTAGCGAAGCACGTTTCAGGCCAAGCCAGAGATGTCAGCCTGTATGGGTTGGTTGGCGTCAAAGTCAAGACCAGGGACACGCCATAAGCAGGAAGTCAATTGGTGTTCCTGGAGTACTGCAACTAAACACCAAAGCCTCAAGCGTCTATGCAGTCATACACGCTCCAGTACCTTGGTACATCTTCGGGACCTACTAGAATCAGAAATCTGGAACTGCTTGGCAACTTTTGCCATTATCCGTTAGGATTCCATTGGCACCAATCGCCATCTGACCTAAAAGTCCCATGTCATATACTGCCATCATCACTTGGCAACGTCTGCAAACAGACCTAAGGGACCCAATAGCATCTACTCCCACAGACCTTGTTCCTTCAGCATATGCTGCCATTAGTCCTTAGGCACCACGGTACCTGTTGCATATCCATTGTCCACATGTTACATACAAGGTGCCTCTAGGAGTTATGTTGTGTTTCCTAGTAACAGGAGTCAGTATCATCCATGTTTTCCTCCAAAGCTTCTAGAACAATGTTGTATTGTTGATCTGTACTAAAGTTTGTACTGTAGGTCATGATGAGAATTCAAATTTAACTGTGATGGTTCCTTGTGACATGAAAGCCAAACATGTCTGTGTACAATATATGTCAAGCTAGTACTATTGTAATCCCTGATCTGTTTACTCTGTAGAGACATCTTGTGTGTTGTCTTTTCATGATAATGAAAAACATCACAATGGTGTCTAGTATGATAATGAAAAAACAGCGCCTTGTATGATAATGCAAAACATCACAATGGTGTCTAGTATGATAATGAAAAACGGCACCTTTTATGATAATGTCACAATGGTGTCTTGTATGAAAATAATGAACGTCACCTTGTATGACAATGAAAAACAGTGCCTTGTATGATAATGAAAAACATCACAATGGTGTCTTGTATGATGATGAAAAACATCACAATGGTGTCTTGTATGATAATGAAAAACATCACAATGATGTCTTGTATGATAATGAAAAACAGTGCCTTGTATGATGAAAAACATCACATTGGTGTCTTGTATGATAATGAAAAACATCACAATGGTGTCTTGTATGATAATGAAAAACAGTGCCTTGTATGATGATGAAAAACATCACATTGGTGTCTTGTATGATAATGAAAAACATCACATTGGTGTCTTGTATGATGATGAAAAACATAACATTGGTGTCTTGCATGATAATGAAAAACAGTGCCTTTTATGATGATGAAAAACATTACAATGGTGTCTTGTGTGATAATGAAAAACATCAGAATGGTGTCTTGTTTGATAATGAAAAACAGTGCCTTGTATGATGAAAAACATCACATTGGTATCTTGTATGATAATGAAAACATCACATTGGTGTCTTGTATGATGATGAAAAACATAACATTGGTGTCTTGCATGATAATGAAAAACAGTGCCTTTTATGATGATGAAAAACATCACAATGGTGTCTTGTGTGATAATGAAAAACATCAGAATGGTTTCTAGTATGATAATGAAAAACGGCACCTTTTATGATAATGTCACAATGGTCTCTTGTATGAAAATAATGAACATCACCTTGTATGACAATGAAAAACAGTGCCTTGTATGATAATGAAAAACATCACAATGGTGTCTTGTATGATGATGAAAAACATCACAATGGTGTCTTTTATGATAATGAAAAACATCACAATGGTGTCTTGTATGATAATGAAAAACAGTGCCTTGTATGATGAAAAACATCACATTGGTGTCTTGTATGATAATGAAAAACATCACAATGGTGTCTTGCATGATAATGAAAAACAGTGCCTTGTATGATGATGAAAAACATCACAATGGTGTCTTGTGTGATAATGAAAAACATCACAATGGTGTCTTGTATGATGATGAAAAACATCACAATGGTGTCTTGCATGATAATGAAAAACATCACAATGGTGTCTTGTATGATAATGAAAAACAGTGCCTTGTATGATGAAAAACATCACATTGGTGTCTTGTATGATAATGAAAAACATCACAATGGTGTCTTGCATGATAATGAAAAACAGTGCCTTGTATGATGATGAGAAACATCACATTGGTGTCTTGTATGATAATGAAAAACATCACATTGGTGTCTTGTATGATGATGAAAAACATAACATTGGTGTCTTGCATGATAATGAAAAACAGTGCCTTTTATGATGATGAAAAACATCACAATGGTGTCTTGTGTGATAATGAAAAACATCAGAATGGTGTCTTGTTTGATAATGAAAAACAGTGCCTTGTATGATGAAAAACATCACATTGGCGTCTTGTATGATAATGAAAACATCACATTGGTGTGTTGTATGATGATGAAAAACATCACAATGGTGTCTTGCATGATAATGAAAAACAGTGCCTTTTATGATGATGAAAAACATCACAATGGTGTCTTGTGTGATAATGAAAAACATCAGAATGGTGTCTTGTATGATAATGAAAAACAGTGCCTTTTATGATAATGAAAATCATCCCAATGGTGACTTGTATCATAATGAAAAATGGTGCCTTTGTAGAATAACAATGAACCCATGATATGCTGGTAAAATTGATTTATAGGTAAAATTTTAAAAACAAAATGTGCTGATGTTCATTGTCTGGCAACATCAACCCTCTCTTTGGTAACTGTGTTTCTTTGCATTTTTTTAATAATATACATTAGTTCCATTTTAACATCATTTTCAACTAATTTTTCCTTCAATATATATAATTATCCGATATAGATATACATTGTTCAAATCACTATTTTATAAAGAAATATTTAAACTGTGTGCATACATATAATGTATTTATAATATGTATAATATATAGAAATATTTAATTTATTTTAATATGCATTCTTCTAAAAACTATATATTTTTATCTTATTCTGTATATTATATTCATGTGACTATGTGTTGTATTTTTGGTTTAATAAATATATTATAAATTATCCTTTTGCAAGTTGTGGAGTATGTAATCAGAGATTTTGTGTTAGTTTCCTAACACCACTCTCATCAATATTCAGTTTCCTAACACCACACTCATCAATATTCAGTTTCCTAACACCACACTCATCAATATTCAGTTTCCTAACACCACACTCATCAATATTCAGTTTCCTAACACCACACTCATCAATATTCAGTTTCCTAACACCACACTCATCAATCAATTCAGTTTCCTAACACCACACTCATCAATATTCAGTTTCCTAACACCACACTCATCAATGTTCAGTTTCCTAACACCACACTCATCAATGTTCAGTTTCCTAACACCACACTCATCAATGTTCAGTTTCCTAACACCACACTCATCAATATTCAGTTTCCTAACACCACACTCATCAATGTTCAGTTTCCTAACACCACACTCATCAATATTCAGTTTCCTAACACCACACTCATCAATGTTCAGTTTCCTAACACCACACTCATCAATATTCAGTTTCCTAACACCACACTCATCAATATTCAGTTTCCTAACACCACACTCATCAATATTCAGTTTCCTAACACCACACTCATCAATGTTCAGTTTCCTAACACCACACTCATCAATGTTCAGTTTCCTAACACCACACTCATCAATATTCAGTTTCCTAACACCACACTCATCAATATTCAGTTTCCTAACACCACACTCATCAATGTTCAGTTTCCTAACACCAAACGCATCAATGTTTAGTTTCCTAACACCACACTCATCAATATTCAGTTTCCTAACACCATGTTTAGTTTGGACTAACACCACACTCATCAATATTCAGTTTCCCTAACACCGACCGCCTCCGCCGGTGTAGTGGTTAGAGCATCCGCCCGGAGAGTTGAAGATCGCGGGTTCGATCCCCGACCGCGACATACCAAAAGACGTTAACATTTGATGCTTGTTGGTCCCTGTTTGGAGCTCGGCATTAATGGGTACAACAAGGACTGGTTGGCTCGGAGTCAGTATAATGTGTCTTAGTGGGGTATTCATGCTTCACTGCAGCACCCAATTTCTATAAAACCATCTTAAGTCCTAGTACAAATGCGTACACACTACCACTCATCAATATTTCAGTTTCCTAACACCACACCTCATCAACTCATTCAGTTTCCTAACACCACACTCATCAATATTCAGTTTCCTAACACCACACTCATCAATATTCAGTTTCCTCAACACCACACTCATCAATGTTCAGTTTCCTAACACCACACTCATCAATATTCAGTTTCCTAACACCACACCTCATCAATATTCAGTTTCCTAACACCACACTCATCAATGTTCAATATTTAGTTTCCTAACACCACACTCATCAACGTTTCAGTTTCCTAACACCACACTCATCAATATTCAGTTTCCTAACACCACACTCATCAATGTTCATAACACCACACTCATCAAGTTCAGTTTCCTAACACCACACTCATCAATATTCAGTTTCCTAACACCACGCTCATCAATATTCAGTTTCCTAACACCACACTCATCAATGTTCAGTTTCCTAACACCAAACGCATCAATGTTTAGTTTCCTAACACCCACACTCATCAATATTCAGTTTGCTTCACCGCGGTGTAGTGGTTTTAGAGCGGCCTCGGCGGTGTAGTATCTGAGTTGAAGATCCTCCCCCGACATGACATACCAAAGACGTTAACATTTGATGCTTGTTGGTCCCTGTTTGGAGCTCGGCATTAATGGGTACAACAAGGACTGGTTGGCTCGGAGTCAGTATAATGTGTCTTAGTGGGGTATTCATGCTTCACTGCAGCATGGTATCTCAGTGGGCTAGCACTATAAAACCATCTTAAGTCTGGACTAGTACAAGCAGCCGCACGTACACATACACACGCATGCACGTCGTCATATGAGCGAAATATTCTCAAGCACGACGTAAAACCCAATTTCACTTCACCCCACCTAATGTACACCACACTCATCAATATTCAGTTTCCTAACACCACACTCATCAATATTCAGTTTCCTAACACCACACTCATCAATATTCAGTTTCCTAGCACCACATTCATCAATGTTCAGTTTCCTAACACCACACTCATCAATATTCAGTTTCCTAACACCACACTCATCAATATTCAACACCTACTCATCAATATTCAGTTTCTAGCACCACATTCACTTCCTAACACCACACTCATCAATATTCAAGCTATATGATGGGTGTCTGGGGGAACCTGAATTTTCAATTTTGATAGGAAGTATAAGCATTGACAAACTTTTCAAAGACAGACATCTTATGAACGCACCACCATTTCTCTTTATCACCACCCCTAAACACAACGCATGGGATGCACGTGCACAACGCAGTAGCCCAATACATGTGCATGGGGTGTCATTCTTGATTTTGATGCTTTTCAAGAAGGTCGATAAATCACTGTAGACCATTAGTTTTGACAATCATCTTGCATCACAGTTGTAAGTGTTTGCTTCTTGCCATTTTTTATTGTTTTTGAAAATGAAAATCATACACATGCAAATGTCACGTCATACACCAATCATCTTTCAAGAGCGATTACTGTTCCAACAACTATGGTCATAGGACGTGCAAATGGTGATGCACTCTCAAAACATTCATTATTACCACATCAACATTGATTGACTCCGATATATCTCCCAAATTTTTCAATAGTAAAATTCAAAATGATATGAGGTCAGATAGACGTAAATGGCTGCACATACACAGGGTATGAAACTCCCAAAAATTTCAGCCAGACCACAGGGCTGGTTAGATGTAAATCTTGCCAGCCGTGACAAAAACTTACCTGCCCACAAAATATTTTCATATACATGTCTAAATTTTAAAACCCCAACCGTCGGACAGGTGAATTTGAGAATCTGGCAGTCCGTGTTGAAAATAACCCGTCCCGGGCGGTTGGGCAGGCAGTTATTTCGAATTTTTGACATACACCTGTAATTATACCTGAGTATAACCTTTTTCAAGCTATATCCTGGCAGTCAGATGTAAGGGAACAATTCTGTGTGTCTGTGTAAATATGTA